CCGGGGTAGATTGTTCCCCCCTGTGGCTCCCGCCCGCGCCATCGTGGCCTCGAGGAGCCCGCTCCTCCGATGCCCCGACCGCCTGCATGATGGTCAGGATGGAGGCGCGGTCTGGATCGCTGCAGAGGGGGAGGACTCCTTGAGGAATAAGGGATGCCTCCACGGAGCTGAGATTCAGCACCCGTTGGACCACTATCTTGAAGTCCTCAGGAGCCCAGTCCCATCTGACCCCCTGGTGGGTCCTCATGAAGTCTTCGGACCCGGTGTACTCCCAGGCGCCCCGGGCGCGCCGCTGGAGTGGCGCGATCCGGCGATGAAGATAGTCGCCGTACACCATGGCCCCTGTGAGCCCCTGGAATCGCAGGCCCGCCAAGCGGTCGAGGACGGCGTCATAGCCATCTCCCAGATCTACCGGCGCCCACCAGCTGGAGGCCTGCGCTGGAGGCTGGCTCCGAAGTCGGAGGCGCGCTTCGTCGGCGAGGGGGGTGTAGAACCAGTCGCTCTTCCAGTCATCCCACTTCTTGCGGAGGACGCAGGGAATGTAGCGGTTCAGCACCGGCCCCCGCGGCTAGAAGTAGCAACCACCAACCACCGACGGCGGCGACACCGGCTGTACGGTGAAGAACCACCGGAACAGCCGAAGGGATGGGCGCACCCCGATGAACATCTCGCACAGGTGCGTGAAGATGGCCAATGTCATTACCGCGTTGGGGGTGAGGTGCGCCATCTGGAGATCGTAAAACTCCAGAACATCCATGAAGAAAGAAGAAAATGGCGGAACCAGCCCTGCCATAGAAAAAGGGAGGAAGAAGACGGACCGCCCCGGGTAGCGTGGCGCCGGGCATCCCTCGCCCAGCGAGACTATCTCCCGGCCGATGGCAGATTCCGGCATGAAGCGGCGCGGCAGCCCGGCCTGTCTCTCGCTCACGATGCGGGAAGGCGGCAGCACGCTACCGTCAAGCGGAGCGGAGCCCCGTGCCATGATGCCAGAAGAAGAGATGTTTGAGAGCGAGCGCGTGTGGCGAAGGTAGGGCACAGGAAACAAGGAGTTAGGGCGCAAGCGGCGAAGACAAGGGGAATAATGGCGAGAGGAAGGAAGCAAATCTCTTCCTCGACGACTTTATACCCTTGCCAACGCTGTGCCCGGCTCCTCGTTTCTCGCGCCCACTATCTTGCCCCCTCGTTTCTCGCGCCCACGCTTCCACTAATCCCATTCGCCCGTTTGCGGTGCATGAGGTGGATAAGCGGCTGTGGCAGTCGAGATGGAACATCTCGTGCGCGCGTTAATTACGCTCGCCGACCGAAGCGCCATCACCATATCTCCAGGAAAAACGAACCGGCTTGTCCCGATTTTTAGACCGGCCCCACCTGTCACCAGGCCTTAGGAAGTGGCGTCACGCCCGACCGCTTCCCTCGAGGAGGGCGATCGCCCTGGCGTAACGCCGGGGGCTACTGTCGGTGACATGGGACCGGGAGTATCATGACTTAGAGACTTGAGACAGACACGATCACCCACGTGGCCTAACCCCCTCGGGGGGGGGGGGGGTCGGGCCCGAGGGTGATACGGCCGCCCTTCTCTTTGTCTCCCCGAGGGGTCAGACCGCTCCCGTCTCGGCCCCGAGGGCCGAGGCGCCCCGACCCCTTGTGGGTTTTGCGCCGCGTATATGGGGTAGGTGAGCATAGCGGGGCTCACCTAACCACATTTATTGCGGTTTGGACGAGCGCGTCACGCCGCATGTAACGCAGTGCAGCGCACTCGTTTATCCGGTCTGTGACCAGTCACAGACCGATCAGATCGTGGGTTAGGTGGCGACAGGCGGTCTGACGCACGCCTCGCCCCATCCCGTCAGGATGAGAGCCTCCAAGCACTCGTCCCTAGCCGGAGCCAGCGTGTTAGCTCCTGGAGATGGCACGTTGGTCCCGGTCAGATATATACCAGGCTTCATCCTAACCATTACAAGCATGACGTTGTATGAAGAGGGGCGAACATGCAGATTGATAAACTGACGCGTGGTGGACAAGAATGACCGATTTGTGACCGGTCTGACACTGGTCATGTCGTCAGCAGACAGCCATGTTCCCACGTCGCGCCTGCTTCCGGCGGAAGTGGAGGTAGGTATGGGCCGTCCCATCAGAAGGTCATTCGGACGGCAACCATACAAGTCTCCGTTTGTTTATGAAAAGATAGGATAAGTCCCCACAAAAAAAAGAGAGAGATGGTGCATGTGGTATCCCCTTGAGGTATAAAAGGAGGACCTTGCCCACTTAGAAAGGGGATTTTTTCGGATCCAGAACGATCAGAGAGGGAGAGAGTAAGAGCTCTCTGGTTCTCCAGCTCTTTTGTAGCTTCTTCATACACAGATCCACCAGAACACAGGAGTAGGGTATTACGCTTCTCAGCGGCCCGAACCTGTATACATCGCCCGTGTCTTGTGTGTTTCCATTCTCGCGAACCTTCCACACACAGACTAGGAGCTTAGAATCTCACCCAGGGCCCCCGGCCGAACCGGCAAAGGGGGGCCTGCGCGGTCTCCCGGTGAGGAGCCCCACGCTCCGTCAATATTAATTTATTTTTCAATAATTTTAAGCTAATATTTGATTAATCATGCATTAATTCATCGCTCTGTTTTACGTACGGAGGGAAAGGGTTTCCAATCTCTCCAAAATAACACAGCCATGATGTATAGTAGGAAAAGCATATCGTAAAGTACTTCTATCTTCATTTCATATTATAACTCACTTTGAATTTTCTCCTATTCAAACTCTTTTAAGTTTGATCAAATTTATAGAAAAACATAGTAATATTTTCAACATAAAACAAATATATTATAAAAATATTTCCTTCATCCCAATTTGGTTATCTTATAATATTTGGTCACCAAGACCAAGAATAATTTAAACCGTATCAATGAAGACGCCTGTTGACGGTCGTTACGGACAAATTTAAACCGATACAAGCTGCCGCTCGCCGTTGTCAACCACCCGTGCAGCAGCCGCTCGACGGTGGCCGCCGGGCAACGAGAGGAGAGGGGCGGCCTCGACCGAGGAGGGTGGATCTGGCCGCCCATCCGCCGCTCCCGCGAAGCCGACGCCGCCGCTGCTTCGGGGGAGGAAAGGAGGGGTGGATCTGGCCGCCCGCCGCCGCCATCGTCGCCCCAGTTTTGGTGCCGCCCAATGCCGCCCTCGCCCACGGCAGCTTCTGTGCGATGGGGAAAGGAGGAGATGCGATGGGGAAAGTAGGGGAGAGAGAAAGAGAGATAAAAAAAAGTGAAAAAGATGATACTAGTGGGACCTTGCCGGAGAGTGAACTCCTCGAGTGGGGGACTGTGAGGCCCCCCTCTGATAGTTCGGCGGGGGGCATCGGGTGAAAACTGAGGAGTTGGATGGAAGGAAGTGTAGTGTGTTCTAGAGGGGGTCGGGCCCCTCGGTGAAGATGAAACAAAAGGGGGTTATACAGGTTCGAGCCGTCAAGAAGCGTAATACCCTATTCCTGTGTATGATGATTTTTCCGAGCTTTCAAAGTCTCTGAATCTCCGGTGTACAAGCTAGAGTTAGCCCCAACCTTCGACCCATGGATCCCCCTCCTCGCTAGGCATTGACCTCCTTTTATACTCCAAGAGGTTACCACATGTGCTGCGAAAGCTACCTAGGGAAGAGAAAAAATATTCTCTATATTAAATGCATGTCTTGTGCCTTAACCCGGAAGCTATTCGCACGTCGGCTGCTGCGTGGGGCCCATCAAATCATGTCGGCTGACACGGGGGGCGCCCTTGTCATTCACTATTTAATGGATGAGGACTTTTGGGGGCATGCTCCAGGAACACAATCTCGGGCACGTCCGGAGCGGTCAAGCCGACTCCGGATTGGATCATCATGATGGGATGGGGCATACCTGCCTCACGCTGCCTAACACATGGTCAGGGCGTGAGTAGATTGTCGCCGTCCCGTCTGTCATTCGGCCGGTCACAGACCGATCGCAAACTGCTATTAAATGTGGCGTGCTATGCCTGCTCCGCCCACATTAAATGCGGTTAGGTGGACGCTGGGGGGCGCCCACCTAACCCCATACCCATGGTGGCCACGAGGAGGGGTCGGGGGCTCGAAAGGGATGGCTGCCACTCATCCACGGGCCCGACCCCCTCGGGAGGGAGCGCCACGTGGACGCTGGGGGTGGCCTCTCCCCTCTAAGCTTGGCACCCCCGGGTCTATATCACCGACAGACCCACTTTATATAACTTACATTGTGAAGTATGTGGCTAATGTGGTTCTTCGTCTAGCTGGCATGCGAAATTCGGTAAAATCGCAGGACAAACTATGAATGGCCTCAGGACATGTGGCCATGCTCCGAACCGAAGCTTCGCGTTGAGTGAAATCAAGGCATTTCACTTGCCAAAAATTTCATTCGAAAGAGCTACGTTTTGCTAACAATTGAATCGAATTTCATGGAGCAGCGGCTCGGAGGGCAAAAGCACCAAGTCACAACTCAACAAGACATATCCATGGGCTTTGATGGACCTGGCATACCATATCCTGTAGATAGGAGAGAAATATGCTACCAGAATTTTGGAGCACCTTTGCAATTCATGCTTTTTTTTTCTTTTTTTTCCCAGAAGGTTTGGTAAGAATACTGTCAAATTGACAGGCTATACCAAAGTCTGGCAGCACTCATGATAATGGCTAAATTGCTTAGGCATTACAAACTTATTTTGTTATAGTCAGTAGTAGCTTTTACAACCCATGAATATATAATACCTCAAAACCTTCCATGGCTTTTGTTGGTCTCCTTGAGCCTGCAATTAAACGCTACTAAACAGTTCACCACGATGCACAAACAAGACATGCAGGAGGCTTAGGAGTCCTACCACCATCTAGATTAGATTCAGGAATAGGACCTTAGCATTAGATTTGCAATAAACAGTACATCTGCAAATAGAAGGTATCGATGGAAACCAGATAGTGGGAGGACTAGTCAGGTTCAGGGCTTCAGGCTGATAATTCCTTCATATTTTGGTGAGCGCTATAGTGTTCTTCGGTAGGTGCCCTGAGACGTCCAGCAAAAGATCGACAAGCTCACGAACATCATCAATGTCCTTGTATATGATTTCAGTAGACTTCAGCTTCCTACAGTTCACCTGGTTCTTATGCTGGGATGATTTCCTCCACTCCAGGGAACCTTTTGAGAACTGCTAGACAAAAGGTTTCATATGAGTTAATCAGCAAACACAATTCAGCAAGAGTTACTGTGAACTGAAGGACTATACAAAGAAATACCTTGCAGCAATGCACAGTGAGCTTCTCAAGATTAGGAGAGTTCTGGAGAAGGTGACGCAATAACTCATTGTTGTAACTCGGACGGCATCTATCCAGCAACAAGGTCCTCAGGTTTTTGAATGCATGGAATTCGACTTGATTGAACTCCAGCCGCACCTGAAATTAGGATAATATTACAGTTAATAAACTAAGCAACAGTTGGTTGCCAATAAATTTTTAGAAAAAGAGAAGCATACATGTTTCGTTGCAGTTGCATTAACTTAGTAGCAAGCATAAATAAAGAGAGCACAATAATTTTAGCATTAGCATTGCTTACTAAAATTCCTCCTAAGAAAAAACTGAAGGAACTAGGAGCGATGTTTTTTTATACAAGGGGTGAAGAAGGGAGCAGCATTCAAACATACTCGTTAGCCTGTAGCCTCTGATGAATGCAGTTGCATTGCTTACAAGAAATGAAAAGCACATAGCCCATAGGATACAAAGATTAAGCAAGGTAGGCATCTAGCTAAAGATCAATTGAGACATTTGTGCATCTATTTCAGCTCAGAATTTCTCAACACCCCATATCCTTTTGCCACATGATCTATTGAGTGGAAAGTTAGCGAGAAAACATTTAGATGCTCAACTAACATAAGTGCTTACAGGAGACATGTATTAGAAACAGAGGACTCACCATTTCACGGAAACCCGACAATTCTAGACTTGTCACATTAAACAACACGTTAAGAAAGTTGCATTTGCACGGAAAGACAACACTGAAACGGATTGATGCTCTGACAAGAGACGGCATCCTTTAAAGAAATTTGACGCATGTCAACTGGAAGCACTAAATTCAGATAAGTAAGACAAGGAGCCCTGATAATTAGCTCCTTATAACATTTTGCATTTGCACCAACTGGAAGTTCGTCTTCATCATACACTGCAGGCCCATGCAGAACCAAATTCTTCAGCTTGGGATGTGTAATTTCTTGGAGATAGAGACTACATCTGTTGAGCTCTAGAACTTCCAGAAGGGTGCAAACAGTAGTGATGTGCTCCATGAAGCATTCATGCAATGAAACATTAGTAAGGTGCAACTTGGTGAGGCAGCCATAATTGGAACCCAACTTATGCATCTCAAGCAAATAGGAGTCATATCTGTAATCAAAATGCAAGTGAAACTCTCTCGGGGAGCACTTGAGGCCGCGCCGAATCCATCTATCAGTATCTGAAGAACGGAGAGAATGATATCTGTCACATATGCGAAGTCGGAATGTGTCCAATTTCGCGGGCGATCCACAGCGATAGGCCAGCACATTATCTGCAAAATCCTCAAACTTTTCAAGGTCACTTCGGGAGATTGCCCAATTCTCACTGGCGGCCGCGAACTCTCTCTGGTCGATGTCGAGGCATGGCACGGAGCGCCAAAGATGCCTCCACCTCTTGGAGAGCACGCTCGTCTGAACCATCTGTCGGCCCTTGAGTGAGGAGAGGATGGTGTGGAGGAGGGCGTCCGGCAGCGCGCTCAGCCGGTCGGTCGCCGGTGGAGATGGTGTCTGGACAGCTCCTCTTCCTCGCGGTCGCCATGGATGCAGAATAAGCCAACCCTGCAAATCATCAATCAGGCATGAACAAAAAAAACCCCACATTCTAACAAAAATCTATGGGCCTGTTCAAATATTGGTAGTGTGTATAGAATTTTGGTATCAATCCTATCAAAATTTTAACAATGTTACCAATTTATCTAAATTTTAGGCATTGCCAAATTTTGGTAAGGTTCACCCTAAGAACCAATTCTATCACCGGCGGGAAGTCCAAGCCCTCTTGGTCCGCTGACTATAGAAGCTCCTAATCTTGCTTCTCTGCTCCTAGAACTCAGCTTTGCAAACTTCCAGATTTCAGACCAAATGCGGTACCTCGTGAAAGCATCAATACATCTCAACAATTACAGTTCTCACAAAAATAACCGCAGCAAGCAATGCACGCTTCTTAGCAATCTACTTAATGTCACAAATCTTGTGCTGGTGGGCTTCAATATGATGGTATGCCTTTCTATCCTGGATAATGATATATGTATTTATCTTGCAACTCTTATTATCTTAGACCAAAGATCCACATCTGATCTTTTGTGGTGATTATTACTTATAGCTTGTATTTCGATGCATGTCTAGCTTGATGCTTGATTTTACCTTTCTTACAACTGATCCAGTACTAAATAAAGCTGTACTTGTTAAGATCGGATAATTATATTGTTATCTATAGTGTGTGTTTCTTACCGTATGTTAGTTTTTTCTATTGTCCGATGAAAGCCAGCAAGGAGCACTGGCCCTGGTCCTGATTAGTCTTTTTGGTCTTAGAGAATGTGCATCGTGATTATGGTTACAAAACTTTGAGATGGTAATTAAGTTTTCTTTGTGCTGTGATATCTCAAAGTTTTATTTTTGCTGTGATATTCCAAATAAGTCATTTGTTCTTGTTATTTTGTTCTGTAACACTTGTGAGCAAGGCGAGCTGAGTTACAAACTCACGATGTTCGCTCAAAAAAAGAGCAACACTAATAACGAAATTACTCTGCACTCTAAAGTCTATGCTAGTAACTTTGTTGGGCCATACAGTTAAAACCAAAATTATAAGTTTCCTCTCTTTCATTTTACAATGAAACAGGTTGGTTTCAAGTACTTGTTTATTGAGTTCTATTTTTCTATCTTTTAGGTGATGCCAAATGAGGGACCATTTGAATTCCCTACATTCAAAAACCTAAGAACCTTGTTGCTGGAAAAGTGTGATCTAGGTGACAATTTCGGGATATTGTGGCACCTTCTTAAGAAGTCTCCTAATTTGGAGAAGCTCACTATGCGGTGCTGCAAGGTAAATTTGCCTTCATTTATTTTTATTCTCACTTGATTGAGTTTGATAGCTTATACAAATCATTGTGCGCTGCGAAGGCCTCCAAAAGTTCCGATATAGGGAAAAGAAAGACCAAGTCGAGCAAGTCTAAGGACCTGTTGAAGATTCGATGTCGAAAGTTGAAGCGTACTGAAATCTTGTACGAGGATACGGATGATGTTTGCCAACTGGTCAATACTTTGCTAGACATTGCTGGAAGCCATTTGATGAATACAATAACCATTAAGAACGTAGGAACTCAATTTGGGTCCGATTCTGAGTAGCATTACCGTTTTCCGCTTTCTAAATGAACTTGCCATTTCTTTTCAGAATGTTCTAGTTTCAGACGAATTCATGTACTGTTATCCTGTAAGGGCGAGCGTGTGCTTCTGTCTCGTTTCTCGATGATGCTGTTCAGTGTATGCCCTATGGTATCGGTTCTTTGATTCGTACTCCTGCATGCTGCACATTTCTGTCAACTAGTTCTGGATCATCATTCATCATGATCTCAGCAAGTAACGCGTGCTGTTGCTTTCTGATGATCAGCTCCTGTTTGGAATCTCTTTCATGGGCGTGCGCTTATTTTTGCTAGGCACAACCGCACAAAGCATGAATTATTTAGTTTTGTGTTATTTTCGATTCAACCATCCTTCAATTGAAACTCATACATATAGACATAATGAAGAAAGCTAAGTGATCAGTATGTTTGTGATCTTTCAGAGAGAGAGAGAGAGAGAGAGAGAGTGAGGGAGAGACTAATCAGCATGTTGTGCTGTATTTTGTAAAGCGTTACTCCCTCCATTCCAAATTGATTTACATATTTCATAGGTACACCAAGATCAAGAAAAGCTAATAACTCTCTCATACTATATTTACTCTAGCAACAAACTCAATGCATGCACCATCCCCACTATTTCCTAGCCAATAGCAAATCAAAATATTGCATGTGGGTTATAAATACATGTGTGCATGGATGCATGCATCAATGTTCATTTACTCCTCTCCAATGCACAAATAACGAATAGACCTAATAAATGAACACAAATATATAGATCATTTAGGAATAAACTAAAAAAACTATATGTAAAAAAATTTGGAATGGAGGGAGTAGTTCACTGTGGAAGTGTACCCGGGGTCAAGGTCACACTCATCTCTAATCCTGTATTCCAACAAAATGAAAATAAAAATTTAGGGTGCAATTATCAGTTGGGCCATAGAATTGAGCCCGGTACGGTTTCGGCCCAAATTGTCCTCCTCTTTACCCTCGGAGAAGTGGGACTGTGCCACTGTGACAGTGAGAAAGGGGGGCGCTTGTGCTTCCCCTCCGGCGAGCCGGCGACGTCTACGAACCTCTGCCGCTGCACTTCGCCGCGAAGGCCCTATATCTGGTGAGATCCCCTACCATATCCCTTCTTGTTTCCTCTCTAGTAAGTAAACCCTAGTTTGATTTCATCCAGCCTGATAGCTCAAGAACTCCTCGGATCTATCAGGACTCATTTATGAGAATAGAAAACCATTGGACCAATCAAGAAGCTTCTATAAAAAAAAAGTTAACACTATGTTTGGTTAATTAATCTCCAGATTAAATAAAGGAAAAAAAATACTCAGCTATAAATTCATACTGAATTTATTAACATCCATGATTATCCTCAATAAGTGATTTGTAGCAAATTAGCATTAGATCACATTCCATTTCTCCATATGTAATGTCTGAGCATCAAAGTTTAAATAGATATATGTTTATCTGCAAATTTTATTATTTTCCAATTCATTCTATATGATGCCACCATGTAAGCTTTTCTTATATGTAGGTTTATATCTATAATGTAGGATAGAGTACGTATATAAATACTATGTTACAATTTTGCTTGGTATTAGAGCACTCAACACCTAAGCGGCATGATCAGCATCCATAGTGTACCATTTTTCTAAACACAGGACAAATATGTGAGCTCATATACAAACGAGTACACTCGTCCCCATAATAAACAAACACATGCATGCCTTACCCCTATAAGCACTTAATGATATTCCTCCCTCCGTACTAAAAATAGCATTATTTAATATTCAAAATTTATCATAAAACATAGCTACTTCTACATATACTCCCTCATCTCAACCAACTGCAATGATATCATATTTAATTCCTTCGCCTACTTTTTTTTTTCAATCATACAAATGTTGCTCCATTTAATTTTACCCCTCTTATTAATCACTAAAAAGACACTGGTTCCGATTCACGGAAATCAGTACATTTGTAGTCAATCAGATGTTTAGATGAGGAATATAATACAAGCAATTCAAAATTTGACAATAAGATGATTGAAAGCAAATATTTTTCCTCATTAATCTTAATCTTTACTAAACAAATTACAAATGCTCCTATATAGAACTGAACCGAGTATATTTTAGAATGGAGGAAGTAACTTACTTACAAAACCGAGCTGTCAATATCATGATAAATGATCCATTCATACAAGCAAGATATGCCGACAATCAGAGTCGCTGAATGGCTAGTACATGATGAAACATGCAAGGAACACCACGTGCAAAATTTGTAAATGTCACACCCCAATCCGGCATCGCCGTACAACGGCACTTGACAGGAGCGTGTTGTAGGAAAAACGGCGCGAACCGCTTCCTAAGAAACCGCGATTTCAGTACCAGTCCCAGGACATAGCGCTGGTACCCACGGTGACAAATATGAATCATTGCAATCCTTAAAATAAATAGAGGACTTATTTACCTTAACTTAGGTTGCAGCTCAGAACAGCCCGAGATTTCAACCGACGACGCGGACGAGGAAACACCAACAACAGCGGCAGCAGCGGAACCAACGGACTAACACCCAACACCACAGGCGACGGCTGGGAACCAGGACGAAACCCTAATCTTCACTTTACTTCATCTTCAACTTCCGGGCGGAGGAACTATATATATTTATATAGAGCAAGGGTGAGTACTTTCGTACTCAGCAAGTCACGGGAATTTAGGTGTTTGATGCAAGCTTGGAAGAGAGGCAAGGTTGTTTTTGCAAATCTTTTGTTTTGAAATCATTTTGAAATCACTAAGTGATTTTTTTCTTTCTAAGTTTGGGCCGAAAAGAGACTTGCGTCTCGATTCGACTTTAAGAGATGTTTTTCAACAGCTCATTTGGTAATGTACCGACCTCCCAGGTCAGATCATTACTTCTCGGCTCCCAGAGCCATTCCACTTGATTAATCGGCTCCCAGAGCCTTTTTCATTTTCTCGGACTCCCAGAGTCCAGCTGCCCAGCAGCACAACAATCCGCTTCCACTCGGGAAGCCTAGTCTATGATGCCCGTAGACATCCCGAATCACACAGATTCGTTTCTTGACCACTCAGGTCATCCATCTGCCACATAGGCTGATTCTGGTAACGATTCCCACATCACAACAACTTTTCACAAAGCACAGGCAAACAAATCTACGCTACAGGAAACACCTCACATCCGCCCATGTCCGCGGGCACGGCTGTTCAAACAGTTAATTAACCTCTGCAGAGGGGGTACACTTTACCCACACGACATTACTAACCCGGATCACCCAGCCCATGAGATCAGCCACGTCGGGAGACCTTAAGGCTTTCATGTCAAGGCATTTCGAAAGCCGACACAGGTTCACCATATGCCAACAAGAGGGGTCCCAGAACAACACCAGATTAGGTCCCAGACCATACTGTGCCAGGAAGCCCGAGGGTT